TAGGGAAAATATAATTAAAAGCTTAGATCTTCATTCTTTCTGATGTAAATTTTTTAATCACTTATGTGTAATTTTTGTAGGTAACACGAGGAGCCTGTGGCAACTTGAATAGTCTGATATGCAAAGCATTTGAGAAGCTACCAGATAAGCAGATCATTAACAATATGTTTTATGGTTTAAGTGAATGCAAAGGGAAATCTGTATTGAGTCGTTTGGAACTGCATGGGATTTGAGCCAACACGAATAGATCTCTCTACTTACAGTACCTAGGGTGTTATACTTGTCATTATTTCTGGATAAGTCAACCTTGCTTCCATCTTTTTTGTAAGGCCAGTCCTGGGGGATGCCTTGTGCTTAAGACAGACCTGAGTTCTCTTTCTAAGCATCTTTTGTAAAGCCCAGCTGTTCAGATTTATTTAATACACTAATGCATATCATAGAATCTTGTATTAGAATAAGCAAGGATAGTCCCCTCTTGTTACATAGTTTGAGCAGTCAAGATCTCCTTTCAGATCTTATTGCAGCAAGAACACAGCTGTGATTAAACTTGAAATTTTATATGAAGTCCACAGCTGTTTAAAACATTAAATCTGTCCCTTTGGATCAGATTATTAATTCAGGGAAAAGGTGTGATTTCCCCTTGAGTTGTTGGTAAACACTGTTAACATTTTAAGATGAACAAAATGTTCAGTAATTCATTAGATACATATGACAGTGTTCTTCCATTGATTCTTCCATTAAGTATCTCATCTGTGGTGCTATTAGAATTGTTTATTTTCAGGGCATTTTTCTGATAATATATTATACTCTACTAAGTAAGGCATGGGCTCTGCAAAGTGAAGTGCCTTCCCTGATACTTCAGCTCTTTTTAATTTTTCCCTTTAAAAAATAACCCCTAACAAACCCAAACCAAGAAATCCCCCTTCTCTGCTGTCACCACATACGAGACCCTGCTCGTGTGCCCATGTTAAAACCTGCTGGAGCTATAGTGCTTTGAGGGTGAAAATTTCTGATCGTGTAAGTGCAGTGTTAAGCTGAGAAATTTTCTTTACTGTCATTTCTCAGCACCAGCCTGTTGTCTAATCCTTTGTTTCTGTATAAAGGGATTTATTTAAAGAGTTTCCCTTGAAAATGCACAATCCTTCATCCTGAGCTTTATGAATTAGCTGGTTTATTTCATGAAGGTTTCTTAGAGCTTTCCACAATTACTTTCTAGAGAAAGTTCTGTGAAATTAGGTTGTTTCGTAAGTGGTTGCAGTCACATGGAACAGTCTTGATTTCTTCTTTTCTTTTTGCAAGAGCACTATGGAGCCTGCATGTGTATTTTTCTTTAGTAATCCTTCATACTCAAATCTTTTACAGCTTCCAACCCTTTTCAACATTAAGACAAAATCTGAACAGCTAAAAGTGCATGTAGGCAGGTGGGGATAGTTGCCTGAAAATAGCTATCTCCTAAACCTTCTTAGACTTCCATAGTCTGGCTTTGCAGGTGATGTAGATATGTGTCACCTGGGGAAGGTCCATGTAATTATTTATGTTCAGTGGCATCGGCTGAATATCTGGCAAAAAGTTTTAAAACTTCCCTATTATTACAATTGGAAAATTGCATATACATCTCATTAGGAAGGAAAGTAAATGAGGTGCTGACCTGACCTGAGCAAATCTGTTTTCTTTGTAAAAACATATGATAGTGTAACCTGCATCCTGTCTGTGTCCATTCCTGTGCTGCTTTTAGAGCACTCTGATCTGCCTGGCTGTAGATGCACTGAATGGTGGTGTATTTGCATCAGGCCCTTTGACGTCCTCCTGTTCTTGTCAGCTTTGATAAGGAGTTTCTTTTTTAATTGAATTAATACAATTAATGCTGCTGCTTCTTGCTTGAATGTACCAAATCTAGTCAGAAGCAGCAATGCAAGGAAAAGCATGAAGTGTGGTTCAGAGCAGACAGACTGCAAACTTCTGTTTCCTGCTGTCTACTTGATATTGAAGAGCAGTTAGTAATTTGGAAAGCTAAGCCCTTGTGCTGCAGACTTCAAAAGGGGATGACAATAACTCCCAGTATCTCTAAAGATTGTTGAAAATGATGGGATAGTGGAATCCCAATTCCTATCTCTCTTATGCTGTTCTCAGGCAGGCACATTATAGGTCCTTTCTCTTGCTTATAGATAACAGTATGTGAAGGATAAGAAGCATCAGCACGGGGAAAACACTCTGCCTCTTTGATTATGCTGATGTGAACAGGTGCTGAGTTTCAATAGCTTGCCTGTTCAACAGATTTTACTCAGACTTCTAATTCATATTCAGTATCTGTGGGGAATTTAGTGCCTGACTCTCCCAGTACAATGCCAGAGCACTGCTTAATAGATGGGAAAGGTACAAAAGTAAAACCAAGAGATGAGACATGTAGCTGGCCCTCACTGGAGGAGCGTGTGAACTGGAAGGCAATAGCAATGAATAGGCCAGGACTTCCAGCACTTATGTAGTGACATTTGTACTGCTGCCCTTCGAGGTTTTGAACTAACAGGATGTGAGCAGCTGTGATAATTTCTTCCTGACTGACATGACAAACGTTGCACTGAGGCAGCTCTACCTGTCTGCTTGGAATTGGACCATTGCATGTGTGAAAGAGGGATAAACTAACTCCTTTTTACTTACTGTGTGACCCTTCTGGATTTTTTCTTTATCAGCAAACTTTAATAAAATTCCTGTGCTTTCCAATTTGCCAAGATGAAAAAAAAGGAAAAAAATAGGATTGTGTCCTAGTCTCCTCACCAAGAGCCCCAGGAATGTGTTCCGTAAGTGTGGTACAGCTGGTCCTCTTCCTACACACAAGCATTTCTGGCTTGGTCTGTTTAATCTTTTGCTAGTACCTCTTCAGACTCATTGCCTTCCTACACACATAATTCAGAGTAAAGAGACTTTATGTTCTTTCCCAGCTTTCTGGGTGGAACGAGAGTCCATTTCTCTCTGTGGATGTAGCCAAATGGTGAGCTCCAACAGAATCCATGTGGACTGTATGGCAAGTCCTTTGTCCTGGCTCTGTAATTTCTGTAAAGATTGCTTAAACAAAAGTTTTCAATAGCAGGAAATTGCCCAAGCTAGCCAGGGCTGCACGCACCACAGAGGAGGGCTGGTGACCCAGCATTTTAAAGTGCAGCATCTGACACAGGCACAGAGGCTGGAAGGGTTTGTAACTATATCCTTTGCCTTTATCCAGGCGACTCTTTTTTTTTTTTTTTTTTTTCCCCCATGGAACAGGTTGAGTAGTTTTTGCCAGTGGTTTCTCAACTCTCAATATTAATGTGTTCATAGAAAAAAAATGCCAGGTCTTAGACAAGTTACTTTAGAGGACCCAACCTTTCATCAATGCATAAAGTAAAAACAGCAAGAGAGGAAAAAATCCTGAGCAGTGCTGTTTGCTAACAATCTGCTGATGATTTGGGAGCCTGAGACCACAAGGTAAATTATTAGTGTTTTGTAGGAGTAGTCTGTGTCAGGGCCAGAAGTTGAAGATGATGCTTCCGAGACCCACATCTGTGATTTCATCTGCTAAATCAGCTGCCTTCTGCTGAATGGGCAGGAGGCTCTTGACTAAGTCAACCACCGTGCTTTCCAAAACAAACAAAAGCCCCCATGCTAAACCTCACAGATAAACGCACTGGCAGACAGTTGACAACATATACTGTATATTTTAAAACTGGATTTACACAATCCTTTTTTAATCAGATATTGACTAGGATGTGAGTGAAAACACGTGCTCTGCCATTAGATTCTTACAAGTCTTGCCTATAAATTTTCCTTTGGATGAAGGCTTTCCCCTCTCCCCTCCCCCCCTATTTTCCTGGTTTACATATTCCTTTAATTGCTAATGACACAGCAAGTCCCACGGCTTCATTCTTAATGCGCTAGTGGGTATTTCCTCTCTGAATTCAGGACAGTTTAGAAGCAAACAGATGTTGAGCTCTCTGACAGATCTCAGGATCTTTTTTTGTGGGACTTTAGAAGATTTAAATGCTTTGTGCAGATTCCTCTATATGAGCTGGTCTTATGTAGACATGAGTGAGGGAACTGGATTTCTTTATTTATTGACAGTTTTGAAGGGTATTGGACAAAACAGAGCAATCAAAAAATCAATCCAATGCATTTTGTCTCTAAGGCATAAGATTTTTATTGATCCATGAGAAAATCCATCTCTCTGCCTAGGAGAAATCCATCCATTAGACAAGAACAGAAACAGTTTTAAGTGGAGCAGTAGTTTGTGTTCATTTCACACAGCTTTGCTCCCTGTGCTGTTTCCATGCTGGTGTTGCTATCTTTGGTGACAATGCCACTGCAAGTACATTGGCATCTTTCCACTGTGCACTGAGTATTATTAATGGCTCTCGGCCACCCACTAATTTGGAGGCAGTTGGTGCTTTGCCGCCTTAATAATTCACAGAACCACATAGATCCAAAGTTGATGAAGGTTTTGGTGTTCCAGCTCCAGCAGCAGTGATCAGTAAAGTAAGCTTCCATTCTCTCAGAGCAGTTCATAAGCAGTGGCTGAAACATGCTGGCTATGCCACTTGATCAGGAAGGCAGCATCTGATGACAGATGATCTTTTGATTTTTCAGTTTATGCTCTGCTGTCACACAATGGCACTACTCAGGGTTTGCATTTTTAACCTGTATTTTGATGTTGTATTGCTTGTCTTTCAATGATATATAGTCAGATAAAGAAGCTGGCTGTGAACCTTTTGATGTTGCTGTAAATCTGATTTAAGTCGGATGGGAATATCGCCAAGCCCTTCTCTCCCTTCCATTCCTAGTTTCTTTGTAAGAGGTAGGTAGAGTGATGACAAGCAGCAGTGGAAAGGCTTGGAATCAGTTTTTCCCCCCATACCATTTTCAGTGTCAACATGTTTAGAAAATGGTCTGAAGATTCCTTAAAAGATGCCTATGCCTCTTCAGGTGCCTCAGGGTAAGCTATTTTCACCTTAAAAGCTTGTCAACTATCTCTGACAACATAATCCTTATATAGCCAGCTCTTGGGAAACCCATCGACAAACATCCTTCTAGGCTGCCTTTTTTAGGTGTGCGTGCCTAACAACATGAAGCAGACTATCAGTCTCATTCTTCTGTTTACATGTCCAGTCTAGTACCATGACTGTAGGTGAAGAAAGCATTGTACAGCTTCCATGCTAAGGTACCCCTCTACAACAATGTCTCCACTGTCCATCTGCAACTTTACCATCCCACCAGAAGTGGTCTGAGCTATGTGGACTCTGCCTCATTTCACAGACATGCAGGGTACCAAGTGGTTTCCAGAGCTGTGTGAATCCTCTGACAAAGTGGCCATCTGTTGGGCAGTGGTAGTCCCAGGGCTGCAGTTGTCCTGTAACAGGACAAGTGGGCTGAGTTGCCAGATTGAGCTGTGGGCTGGTACTTCTCATATGGTTTGCAGTGGATGGTTGTGTGCCTTATCTGCTTCCTGTTAGTGGAGGATATATAATAGTGCTGGCTGTTCATCATGCTGGCTGTCTCTGTAGGATGGAGGAAGAGGTAAAGCACAATTAACAGCACTAGTAAGTACTTTAATTTTTATGTCTTTCATATGTTAGCATATGTATCTGTGTGTGTATGCAGGGGGCAAAAAAATATTAATGCTCTAATTTATGTAAAGACAAGAACAGCTTCTTATCCTAGCTTCATTTAGGCACTTTCATGTGCTATCAATGGGTCAAAAATTAAAAAGGATTTGTTACTAACAGAAACAGTCCTTAGACTGCTCAGCACTGTGGGTTCTCTTGGTAGCGCGGAGAGGCAAAGTCCATGTAAAATCTGTTGATAATAAATTCTCGGTTGTTTCTAGTATTCAAAAGGAGAAAATAAATTGCAGACCATACCTCAGGCTAGCATGTATTTTTTTAAATCAAATTTTAGGACTTTTCTATTCTGAGTACTATGGAGGTGTTCCTTGGATTCATCAAGCTGTCAGCAGAGTGCTTGGAAAATGATGTATTTTGCCATTGCTGCCATAGCACCTGCAAAATTTGATGCTTTTCTTGCTGAGAAACTTAAATATTTTAAATACCAAAGCCTACCCAAAGAGCTTGCTTGACTGATTGATACGCTGTGCTTACATTATCCCTCTGAAGTGCAGCATGTCACTTGTATTGCTTTGTTCATGTATACTTTGGGATAGGCAATGGTCAGGTCTACCTTCTCTTTGAGGTAGTGTGGACAGACTAACATCAATGATAAAAGGAAATTAACTTATCCTTTATGAATTCATGGTATTTAAGTTTGCCCATTGGATTTGCCTTCAGTTAAGCATACAGTTAACCTTTTTTCATTGCAATTAGTTGAAAACTAAGGATTTCCTTCCTTCTGTTTTGAACTGATATGTAAGAGGAAATCCGTAGATGTTCCTGTTTTGAGTAAACCTTTTTCTAAGGAGTTCTGCTTGTGCATTTAAAATAAGAATAGAAAGAAAGAAAAAGGTGGTATTAGTTCAGACATAACACTCCAAGTAGCAGATCCACGTCTGAAGGCTTTGCACTCACAGAGCACAGTGCAAAAATGCTCTCTCCCTGTTTACTTTTAACCTCTGGTTTTTCTTGGATCTGATTCTTAGTAGGCGGTCTTATCTTACAGAAATTGCAGCCTCTATCGCCACCCCTTTTGTGGAAAGGGTCCTGCCCGTAAAAGCATGAAAATGCATCCTCCTGGGTTGCTGTTTTTCTTCTTAGCAGCATGCTTCACTCCCACAGCTGACTGCCAGAGTCAGAAGGTAAGTCTGTGAGTCTTTGTTTAAATGTTCATTGAATGATTCTTCCTATTAAGACAGTTGCATGTTATGAAATAGTCCTCCCCAAAACTTCTTTTTTCATTGACTTTTAGTTAGGTGTAGGATAACATCCATAATTAAACTTTAGGACTGTAAAGTATCTTCTTTGCTTATGTGTAGGTATGTACGTGTGTAGTCTAAACTGAGGAACTACAAATAAGGTTGAAGGGAGCTGCTTGAGTTTCAGATTTCTGTTTCCACACTGAATGCGAAATAGCAGTTTGAAAGGAATATACTCAGCATCTCAGCATCTTTGTCTTCCACTTTTTTCAGTATGTGTGATGGGAGCTTAGTATGTGGCAGGACAGGTCCATAAACTTCCTAGGATAATTTTATTAAAAAGAAAAAAAAAATTAAAAATCTCATCAAATTGATGCTTTGCAGCAGGGTAAATGTATTTGTTTGAAGTACGTTTCCCAACAGCTCCCCAGTGAGGAGCGTAGAATACTTTCCATTTCGCTTCAATTTTGTTGGTTTTCTTTTGATTCCTTTGTCTCTGTTCTTGTGTTTAGCAGCAGCATCTAGAAGAGCTTACGATGCCTGTGTAGATCTGTTCTCTAGGCTCTATGGGGAGGCATCCCATTTTCTATAGGGCTAGAATTCACACTAGTTCCTACTATATTGTCTTCTGCCATCGCCTTTCTTGCGTCCTGCTGTTGGAAGAAGGAACTAGCCTGCAAAGTCAGAAGCCGTGTGGGGCATTTGGAAATCTCATTCCCTGGGCATCCAAGCAATGGAAGAGTTGTCTTGTCTTGAATGACAATGATGGGCCTTGTGGGGAATGGAGAGACCTGTTCTAAGGAAGGTGCATGTGAGTCTGAAAGACTTAATTTACAGAAAGCCAGAGCACTGAAAAGATGCTTCAGTGTCAGAAATTTGGGTGGAAGCTTTTGCATAAACCCTTTAACAAAAGGGCCAGAAGTGACTAATAAGCATACAAATAAGGTAAGACCCTCATGAACTTTTAGTTTGTAGGATCATGACATGAAGAAGTGTCTCTGCTGGTGGTTTTCATTGTCTAGAAGCATGGGTTCTGTGTGTTCAGAGGCATGGGCTCACATCTTCAACTGGTGGAGGCGAAAATTTACGTCTCTTCACTTTGAGACACTGTGTAGATTTCTCAAATCAAATCAGGTGTCTGGCTCAGTGTGAGAAAGTTGTATCAGGTAATGAGTACCCACTCACAGAGAAGGGCAATGTTTTGAATCACCTCTGGAGCAGTTTAATCCAGGAAAAATAACTCCCTTTTAGGGGTTTGGTGGTTTTTTTTTTCCCTAAAAGGTTTCTCCTTTTGGAGAAAGAGAAGAAACATTTGAAAGGTTATAATGGGAGATAAGGTAAAATAAGAGTCTAATGAAGTCTTCTCTGATAGTTTGGGATGGCCATTGGATCTGACTGCAACAGAAGTGCTGTGATTCCACAAGAGGCCTCCGTTGGCTTGCAGTAGCCTTGCAGGGGCCATTAAGAGAGAAAAGAGAGATTTTGTGCTAGCTTTTCAGTGATGTTACCTCAGGGCTCTGTTTTGATGGCTCACATGTGACAGCAAATGTGTTAGCCTGGTTTGGTTTGTGTATACCTCTTGACATGGGCTGGGGAAGATGCAGCAGATGTAAGAACCATGACAGTTCTGCTGGGGGGAGGCCAATCCCAGACTGTGCTGGAGGAGGAATGGAGGCAGGTGGGAAATAAGGGAAGTGCTCTCTGCATCTTGTGCCTCCAGTGCTCTGCAGCTGAGACAGTAGGAAACACCCAGGGCATCAGTAGATCTTGTGTTATGCGATCTCTGAGCTTGATTGTTCATCCTCTTGCTGAAAAGTGTCTTCATTGGACAAATGTGAAGGGTTTATGTGTCCAGGAGACACTGGTCTGTTCAGCTAGTGTTATTGAGAACTTCTTGGGGAGGTACATGACTATAATGACTCAAGCGTGTGTCTACAGCTCTGTTTTGTAAAGGGCAAATGAGCTGGAAACTTGGTGATTCATTAGATAATGAATGTTTCCCGAACTGGCTCCCAGGATTGTTGGAGCCAAACACTGACGTCCAAATGTGTTTTTCTTTCTTCCTTGAGATTTTGCCGTGCAGAAGGATTTGTGTTACAGTTTGGGAGGAAAAGATAAAGAGCGAAAACAAGGGGAATGAAAGTAGCCCTTGAAAAAAACTCCCCAGCTTATTCTTTTGAGGTGGAATAAGAGAAACATGAGCACTTGAGAAGTAAGGGACATCCGTGTCAGAGTGAGAGAAGGAAATGCTGCAGCATCCAGAAGCTCAGATACATCTCAGCTAAGCACAGAGGGCAATGGCTGCTCACACACAGGCATGTGTTTGAGTTCAGGGAGAAAGCACAGTCCAGCCCTGGCAAGACAGTGCTCAGTGTGGACAGAAGTACTCTGACTCTTCTCTTGGCTACAGCTAGATGTCTTCTGCCTTAAAGGCCTCCTTTAATTTTGGAGATGTTTGAGAGCGCCAGTCTTCCTTTTCTGTTGCGTTGTACCCAAAGTGTGATACAGTCCAGGCTCACATCATCACCTGGTCAGAACGGTGACTTGTTTTCACCCCCTTTCCTTGGCATAGCCACCATGCACCTCATTGACTTTAAGCCCACCAGGTAGCATTGCTGCATCACGGACAGACATTCCCTCTCGCTGCTTCCTCTCCAGCATCTTCAAACTTAGGAACAGTGATCACAGATGTGCTCAGGGGAGCAGTGCATCATTTTTTTCCATGAGGCTGTGCCCCAGGGGGCATCTCTGGCTCAAGCTCCTGTCTGTCTTTCATCCTCTCCAAAATCAGAGTATTCAAACTGCTGCATTTATGTTCCTTGATTCCCTCTTCTGCTTTCTTAAGCAACAAAACTCTCCAGAAAATGACTGCTTCATCAGTTCTGTCACTCAAATAAGACAGGAAATATCTTTTTTAATTATTTTCCACTCAGCTGTTTTCTTCCTCTTTTCTCCTGCCTGTTGCTGCTGACACAGGCGTATTTCTTTATAAAAAGGGGAAGATCTTACTGGAAAGCTGCCTAAAGCTCATGAAGTGTCCCAGGAAAGTAGGGTAGGGGAGATTCCACAATAACCTGTCTTGTGTTAGAGGCCTGCAAGTAATTAGAGATGCCAACAGGGAGGAGTGACAGCCATTCTCTCCCAGGGTCCATCTCCATCTAGAAACAGAGCCACACTGATGAAGGAAAGAGAAGGAAAATGGAATTATGTGTGCATAATGGTGTCTTCCTCCACCAGCGTGACAGAGAACACATTTAATAGCCCACTTGTGTTTGACAGCCAACTCCTGATGTTCGGAAGTAAAGATGAAATAGAAGATTGGAGAGTTTTAATTGGTATCTTTGCTCTACTATTTGCGTGGTCTTTTTCATACAGATAGGGTGGCTCGTGCACCTGATAAAGGTTTGTGGAGTAATTCCAACAATGTTAACATCATAACTCGTGGGAAGGCATCCACCTCTGTGTTTCTTCCTCAGGCACCTTCCCATTCCTCTTTCAGAAGCTTTGTCTCAGTGAAGATTAAAGCTGGAATTTGGTGGGACTAGAAAGGCAGGAGGCGTACTGTTCTGTCAGAACTGTGTGCCTGGCTTCAGCCTGGTCCTTTCAAAAGCCCAGCTTTAAACTGGAGTCCTAGTTTGTCCTTGAATCAGCTGGTTGGATGGGCAACTTCCCTACCACATCAAGCACTGCTGATCTTTTGAGACGGAGTACTCCAGAGGTAGCACGTCATTTATCCATCCCTAGCAGCTGTTTTCTCTATTTTGCTCCATAAAAAAGGGGAAATCTCTGACTGCTCTGTGTGTCAGTGGGGTGGAAATATAAGGAATAGCAAAGCTGATCTCTGTCCTGATGCATAAAATTAGTAAAACTGGTGCTCACAGAACATGGATAGGTAGATTTGGTGGATCTCAGACTGGGTTTGAGCTGTTCCTAATACAAGGAGACCCTTGACATAGCAGGTTCCTTGGGGATTCTGCCACAAAAGGAAGTGGAGGTTACTCTACAGTAAGGAAAGCCCCAGATGTACAACCTTGGTTGATGAGAAGCTTGACATGAGCAGGCAGTGTGCGCTTGCAGCCCAGAAAGCCAACCGTATCCTGGGCTGTATCAGAAGAAGCGTGACCAGCAGGTCAAAGGAGGTGATCCTGCCCCTCTACTCTGCTCTTGTGAGACCTCACTTGGAGTATTGTGTCCAGTTCTGGTGTCCTCAATGTAAAAAGGACATGGAGCTGTTGGAGCAAGTCCAGAGGAGGCAATGAGGATGATAAGAGAGCTGGAGCACCTCCCGTATGAAGACAGGCTGAGAAAGTTGGGGCTGTTCAGCCTGGAGAAGAGAAGGCTGCGTGGAGACCCTATAGGAGCCTTCCAGTATCTGAAGGGGGCCTATGCTGGGGAGGTACTCTTTGTTAGGGACTCTAGTGGTAGGACAAGGGGTGATGGGTTTAAACTTAAACAGGGGAACTTTAGGTTAGACATAAGGAAGAAGCTCTTTACAGTGAGGGTGGTGAGGCACTGGAATGGGTTGCCCAAGGAAGTTGTGAGTGCTCCAACCCTGGTGGTGTTCAAGGCCAGGTTGGACGGAGCCTTGGGCGACATAGTTTAGTGTGAGGTGTCCCTGCTCATGGCAGGGGGGTTGGAACTAGATGATCTTAAGGTCCTTTCCAACCCAAACTATTCTATGATTCTATGATTCTATAACTAGAAATTAATATCTATATGAAAGGCAACCACAGACACAGAAATCTCTTTCTTCATTGGGCAACATTTCATGTATGAATGGCTCCAGAAAATGGCTCCATGATGATGAGAAAAAGCTCAACAACTCCAGGCAGAGGGAATAATGTGGGTGTGAGTCGGGAAAACGTTCCAGGGAGATGTCCCTGTGGACCTGGGGCTTGAGGGTTATCTCTCAGGAGGTTTTCCTGACAGGGTCTGCTGGTTATCATCTGAGAGGGCCTTCCTGAGCTGTTGATAACTGATGGGAAGCCATGGGCTTCCTGCCTTGCCTTGAGGCAGATATAAGCATTTAGGCCTAAGTTCAGAGGAAGCAAAGCTGAGATTGCTGACGAGAATCCAAAACAAGTTCTGGGCACAGGAGAGCTGCTGCATTAACAGCTTCAGGATAGGCTTTAAAGATCCCAGATCAAGGCCTTCTCCCAAAATCTGACCTAATCGTTTTATTTTTAGACAATAAAGTGCCTGTAGAGGCACAGTTGAGGTGAGCTGTGGGGTCTTTCTCCAGCCACTGACCTTTTCAGGCAAACACAGCTCATGCTTCCCAGCTTTTCTCTGTCATCATCAGTGGCAAACATTGTCTTTTTTTCAAATGAGCAATGAGTTTTCCATGCAGTTGCTTGATTCCAGGAGCTTAGAAATTCAAGGAAATGCTTTTGAGGTAAAATCATGAGCTTTAATAACAAGTTGGCATATGATGATGATGATTATTTGCTCTAAGGCTGTCCTTTTTTTGTCTGCTCAGGCTGTGTTTCATTTGAAGAAGTAAGGTTAGTTGTTATGGGGGTTCAGAAAAGCCCTGTGGGGAAACCTGAACCTCTAAAGTTACTCTGCTTGGGTTGGAAGGACTTATGCTGAATATATCACCAGCCATGTGAATTATCCAAGTGTCCAACCTGGTCTTCTTGCCAATGTTTATGGAGTCCTTTTCATCTAGGTTGAAAGCATCAAGGGCCATCCAGGTGGTCAGAGAAGTGTAGAACACCTTTTATTTTAATCCACACCCCTCCACCCTCACACCTTCTTGAAGACAATTGCCATGAGAAATGTGAGCAGCTCCTGGGCTCTGGGTAATAGACAGAACTAACGCATTTAGTTCTTCAGACCCATGGAACAGCAATGAAACCACCAGTGAACTGCATCATGTCAATGGCGTGGAAAAGAGAAATGCTGTGTTGCATTTTAATTCAGTGTCTTCTGGCAAGGGTTATTAATTTACAGCATGTCCTCACATACCACTACCACATGTTTGTAAAAAATCAGCTTAAGTTAGCAGGGCACAATTATGATTATTTTAGAAATGGTTAGAATTTTTGCTGTGAGGCATAAGGGAAAGATAAAATAGCTGTGATCTACCCTATTGACTTCTAGCTGAGCTCCAAGCAGAGCAGCATGCAGCATGACAGATTGGTTTAGCCCATCTGAGTGTGTGGTGTATCTCCCAGCAGCTATACTCCTCATTGCCTTCCCCACTGCTATCTAAAGTATAGTCCAATGTTGATAAAGATATTTAAGGTTGGAAAGATGGGTGGCCAGAGTAACAATTTAATCTGGGTTTATTTCCATTCTGTTTTTTCTTTTGAAGTTAAAATCCATGCAATGCAATGTCAAGACGATGTTTACCTTGAATACAGCGTGTACTGCTTGTGCTGCAGCACCTAAAATGATGTGTCCAAGAGGCTGGTTAAAAACGACCCAAGGATTAGGAGTGAGGGGCTGCAGGTAAGGCCTGTTTCCTAACAATGTTAAAGTTTTGGTGCAGCCATGCTATGCAAGAAGTAGTGTGTATGCCTTCAGGAGAACACAGGTGGGTTTTGAGCTCTAAAGATGCAGTAAGTTTTGTTTTCAGATGCATAAAAGTAGATTTATGGCCCCTATTGTTGTTGCTTTTGTCTCCTTGCAAATTCCATGGACTTTTTGCTGGGCATAAGGTTCTATATACACAGAAGAAATTACATGATAATTACCTGTAACTTGCCCTAAACAACTTGAATTTGCTAATCCTGCTGTAACCACTTAGCAGAGGTCTGTCTAGCGTAGAAACCTGTTTCAAACCCAGAATTCCATAGTGGATTATTAGGAAAATAATGTAATGATAGTTCCCCTTGTATATCCTCCCAGCTTCCAGCAATAATCCTCTGAACTTTTTACCTTCCTAATTTACTTTATGACAATTGCTTGTTCATGTGTTCCTTGCTCTTATTCTGTTGGGCTTGGCTTTACTAGGAAAAGGGTGAAGGGAAGCTGAATTTACTAGGAAGTTTTTAAAAACTGAAACACTATAGATTATTGTTTGCATATCTATTCAGCAGTGAATATTAACTTAAGATATAGTTCCATTGTGTACTGTTTTCTGTGATTCACTATTCTGTCGAAATACTTTAAAAATAGCTGTGGCAGTTTTGCAGTTTATAGCAGTTTTTGCACAGACACACATAGGAGTCAGATTGAAGCCAAAGCAGCAGTGCTATTGAGACAACTTCCAAGTTCCTTTTGGGAAGGATGTTGTGCCAAAAATAAGATGAAGTGTAAGAATAATGTGAGTGCATGCAGCTTTTGTGAGTGTTATCTGCTCTCATGGCGGCTGTTGGGCAGACCCAAGAATAGTTCTGTGCTGCATACATGCAGAACAAGAGACACTGCCACGACGGGCCTACGCTGTGTGTAGAGGTGATGGATGAAGGGTTGAAAAGGAGGTGCTTCTTTTGGGGATTTAAGGAGTTTGTCCGAGGTTGAACAGAGAATCTGTGAATTACGCAGTTACAAAATCCAAATTTCCAGCATCTCAGCCTGGAATCTTTAGTGCAACAGAAGGGGACAAGTCCTGCAAAGAGATTTTGTTCTTTCAAGGTTATTTTAGGTGTGAAGTTTAATGTTGAATCACTCTGGAGATGCTAATTTTGTCTGACACTCCATCATCCAAGGTTTGTGTCCTAGTGCCCAAGGTCCTGCCTCATGTCCAGTCCCTGGCAGATTTCTTGGAACCAATCTTTGAGGCTCAGATCAATGGGCATCCTCAGAGAAAACATAACCCAAGTGTAAACTCTTGTGTGCATGTATGGCAGAGGGAATGAGTGTCCTTCCTTCCATCTTTCCACTTCAGAGTTCAATGCACTGCAGTTTGATTGCCTAGAAACCCTCCAACAGGCATGTGGTGTCTTTGTGTTGTAATTGTGAATCTTGGATTTTTCTTTTTAAGATACACTGTCAAGTTAGGAGAAAATACCCTTTCCCAGACAGGGTGCCATCACATATGTAAGAAGGAAATTGAGGAGAAAAAGTGCTGTCCGGGATTCTGGGGTACCGAGTGCTATGGTAAGTTTTTCATCTTTTTATGATATTCTCTAGCTATTGAATAAATCAAACAATTTTAATAGGAGACATTATTATTGAGGTGATTTTTTTTTTCACTATTCCTTGAACACTCACAAGATCTGGTATCTATCTGGGAGGTTCAGAATATAATGGGGAAGGAATCTCTCTGCTTCAGATGAGTTGAATTCTCCTTGCATTTAACACATGCAAGTTCCACTCCTTTGGTGGAACTTCCTTTTGTCTCTTCTTTAAAAATAAGCTTTTGTAAAGGGATGTTTTTGTTCCTCTTTAAGAAAGTTTCCAAAGGAAGAGGAAGCTATTTCTTTCTCGTGTCCTTCTAGTCTGCAGCATGTGTGCCGTGTGTGCTCCTGTATAGTCTGGAGTTAGTCAGCCATTCAGCCACTGAAAATACTTAGCAATTCCAATCCAAGGTGAAAATAACCATTCCAAAGCTCCCACACTGGTTTATGCCAAGTAAAGAGAATTTGCCTTGTCTCAAAAATCCCGAAGCAAGACCTACTAAGCTAAACATTTCTCATATGATTGACTGATTATGGAAATGACACTCTCCAGTCCTGCAGAAAATGGGAGGTTGTTTGAGTGCTTGAGCCTCTTCTCATACAAAGTGGTTTGAATAAAATGGCTTTGTCAGACGAATCACATGCCTAAAATTATCAGAAATAGTCCCCAGAATTTGGAGGTACCCCACTCCAAAGATGTGTGGGTACTGTTTTTCTGAGCATACTTCATGAAGTGAGGGAGAGCTGAAAATACTCAGTATCATTGCAAAGCAGGCTCCTGTCTGTCCTCAGTTCCAGAACAGCCCTCAGATGTTTGATACTGCCTGTTGCTGGTGCTAGCAGCAGCAGCTCAACCTCAAAACATGTGTCAGTACCTTCACTTAAATTTAGTTAGTTATGGTCCATTGGGACTTTTCCTTAGACTTTCAATAAAAGACTTTTCTTAACTATCAGCCACATTGCTCCTTGGTGCCACTTCTGGCCATATTCACCAGCACTCGGCCAGTGGTAGGTGTATTGGATAAGTAGGCAGGGACTTCGCTGGTGAAGAGGCCTTTGCCTTTGCACAACTGGAATGCCTGGAGGAAGAGGAGATAGAAAAGGGGATGCAGGTGCTGGTTGTTCAATCTTATCTTATCTGGCCTATCTCTTGCCTGCTAGAGTGTGCAGGTGGCTCTCAAAATCCCTGCAATGGCCATGGGACATGCTTGGATGGTATGCAGCAAAATGGGACCTGCATCTGTAAGGTCAGTGTATGATTTATTCTGAGGGTCATGTGCTTTTGTCAGAGGGAGTTGTACGATGTCTGTACAGATGCTTTGGATGAAGGATGCCTTCCTGCCTGGAGGGTCATTAGCAGTTTCTTTCATTCCAGCATCAGTGTCTGTGGTTTTCCTGGAGGGCTGGTGTGGTCTGCAATAGCACTAAGACACTGGTGGTGAGCGTATGGAGTTGGGAAGGATCTCCGTGGGGAAATGAAGAAAAAAATGCATTGATTTAACCCTCTGAGCAGTTGAAATAATCAGTGCCTGTCTGTGGCTGCAGGAAGCCCTGAGATACTTGGTTCTTAATGCACAGCACCTTTTTCAGACTTAGATGCTATATCTCCCAAATTAATTCATCCTGCATCTTGGCAGGCAGATCCTCCCTCTCTCAGGAAAAGCAGGAGAGTCCAGAAGGAGTATTTAGGACTGATGTTTTGGGTTTTTTTCTTTACAGCTCCAGACTTACTACAACAAAAGCATAAAAAATTCCTGCACGTTTGAATCATACAGAGCAGTGTTTCGAAAATGTTTAGCTTAATGGATCAGTGTTAGGCTTGAAACTTTCTCTTATGGACTGTATGTTTTTACAGCATTCTTAATTAATAGCATTAATTGAGTGCTTGAGCCTGTTCTCAAAGCTAAAATCCTGTTCTCTGAGCTAAAATCCTACCTCTTGGGCCCTTCTTTGAGAAAGGTTGATTTTGGATTGAACTCAGAGATGCCTTATATCAATTAAAATATATGCTAGAGGTCCCCAGGCCCAGTAAAATCAATGTCAAAAGTCCCATTGGCATTAGTGAATTCCAGATTCTTTTTCCAGAGAGATAACAGAAGCCAGCTGGTACGTTCTTGATGTTTGTGATCAGGACATTGTTTCTTCAGTGCCCACCAGAGTTTTGCTCGCATTTGCATGCCCTCTCTGTCTCAGCTTACACTGTGGAGATCTTTACCATGGAGATTGATTAATACTACTGGAGCATTTAACAGATCAGTTTTCTTCACTCTATTGTGTCAGCTGTCATAGAAAATCAGAAATGGGGAGAGACTTTGCGTGGAATAATGCAATGATACAGAAATTAACATCTGGGACATTTGGGGGGCCTTCTAGGAGCAATACAGTGGGTTTGCCTGCCAGAATTGTCAAGATGAAAATCGTTTTGGCCCAGACTGTCTGTCAGGTAAGAAAGAGTAATTCAAGTGAAATCTCCACAGAAATAACTGAAAGCAAGGAAGGAGGGAGGGGGAAGGTTGAATGAAGAAGGCTGCTGGAGAGGAGAGGGTGCCAGCTGGCAGTGTTCAGTAGCAGGTGTATTGGCATTTTGCCTTTGTGCCCCTCTCCACTCTCCTGTTAGACACATGATTCTCGGTCTTTCACGCATTTTTCCTATTGTAAACCCTTACCAGAGCTATCCCAGTTTCCTATCTCTTTCTAGCCAGGTTGTTACCTACCTCTCTGAAGCAGCCCACACTCACTTCCTAGCCTTTTTCCAGACTCCTGGAACTGCCACACTTGCCTCTCATCTTCTTTCTTGTTGCCCTCCCTAAAAAAAAATATACACAATGCTATGGCATTTTTGGAAGTGATTTATGACCACTGCAGCCCGGCTGTTAACGGAGCCCTTTTCATCCAGTTCCTGGTTCTCTTGTATGCACACAGGTGGGAAAGGTGTGATGTTGGTAGTTGTGCTCACATTACACCACCAATGCTGGGATACAGATGTGGCAGGCACTCATAACACTGCCTCCTTCCACACTGGCTGCAGGAAGAGGAACGGGAAGTTAAAACACATGCCCGAAACGCTGATCTAGATCTTGCTTTCAAGGCTGCTCTTAGAGGGCAGTACTTGGTCTCCATGAGCCCAGGACATGCAGTTTGCCCTCTGTAAGCTCTGACTGGCATAGACAACTTTTAAAAGTAGCTACATTTGCTGTGGATTACTGGTGCTGTGGATTACTGGGAGATCAGGGTGCTAAGTCTGAAGGCTGTTGGCCAGTGTATACCTGGAGCCCTATCACTGCCTTGTAGCTGAAGGTCAGATTTGTCTGGACTTCCCTTGCAGTGTGTGACTGCGTGCACGGGGAATGCAGCAGCGGCATCACTGGAAATGGAAGCTGCACGTGCTATGGAGGCTACACTGGCCCCAGATGTGACCAAGGTAAATACACTGGTAACTGCAGAGGACCTGTTAGAGCTAAACTGTGATATGGGCTTGGATGCATGTGTCCCAGAAGGAACTGGGGAGGGGAGCAATGAATAGCTTGGGAATGTAGAGGGAAGATGATCTGAGGACTGGAGATCTAGACAGAGGGAAAAGCAGGGGTCTGCTCCCTACTCCATGACAGTGGCCAAGATGTACCACCTCTTCATGCCTCTGTTCTTTCTTTGAAAACCAGATAGATCCTTTCTTCTCTCCAAGCTTTGCAGGACCTGACTACCCAGGCTGCAGTGATTTAGAGCTGTCCCTACTGCTTATATCCCCTGGCCTTTGTGTCAGCTTGGGAGTGTCTGGAAACCACATTTGCCTTCATTTCCAGATACATTGTAAGGTGTGTTTTCCAGCAGCGTCCTGCATGCTCAAAAGGAAACTCTCTTTGCTGTGTGATTCCAGAGCTTCCCCTTTGCAAAGGCGTGACATGTGAGGCCAACAGCGAATGTGTGGTAAGGGATGGGGCAGCGATGTGTGACTGCAAGCTGGGCTACAGAAAAAGTGGAAGCACTTGCCAAGGTGAGAAACTTCTCTGTGACGATAAATGGTCCCCTGTTCAGAAAAAACTTACCACACTGATGTCTCTGGATGAATTTGATCACTATAAATGCAGTGCCTGCAGAGGCTTAAGAATCTGGTTTTCAGGAATCCCTTTAAGATTAATGGCTAAGGCTCTCCTCTCACTTGGTCCTGAAAGCAAAAAATGGATTAGAGTCACAGATTTTATTGAGCACTTGCTTGTGTGTACTGAATAACCGTGACAATGGGATATTGCTGTCTGTGCTAGTTTAAATAATAAGGTGTGTGATTGAGGATTTCTTCACTGGTTTCAAATATAAGTTTGTGAATTGGTTTAGTTAGCAGAAAGTCAATAAGATGCGTGTGATTATGTCATAGTAGTCCATATGATTAGCTAGCTATGGATAGCTCTATTTTGACTGGCTTTTCTGCGGTTTTTGCCAACAAAACTGCAGTTTCATATATCCTCAAATGTCATAGAAATTCAGAAATAAACCCAAGCATCCTCTGTTGCTCATGGTTCTGTTACCAAAGTAACATGAAAAATGTGTCATTCAAATTCCTCAGATTAAAAACCACCAAAATGTCTGCTTTTTGAAATTATTTTATTATCCTGTGAAATTTTAGAAGCTTAATAGTATAAATTCCTTATAATCCATGCTTTCCAGGCCGTTTGCATTCTGCTGTGCTGCAGTAAGTGCTGTTTTAAAAACAGAAATTTGGTTACTCTCACCTCTTTAATTGCAGCTCAAGATCCTTGTGCTGCTTCTCCATGCTCCCCTTTCGCTGTATGTAAGGTTCTTGGACCACGAAAGTATGAGTGTACCTGCAAAGAAGGATTTCAGGGAGATGGGAAGATTTGCCAGCCCATAAACCCTTGTGTTGACAACAATGGAGGCTGCCCAGAGAACTCTACAATTTGTGTTTACAGACGTCCAGGAGAGGTAAGGGCAATAACAGCATGTCAGCAGCCTCTCAGGGTCTGAAAAATGGTGAGGTGAGAAGTTCTTCAAATGAGCTAACCATTGTGTTGGTCAAATCTGCTCTCTTCAGCTTAGATTTTGCAAAGGGAAACCAGACAGCTCTTTTGTAGGGTAACTTACTGGGTAAAAGATGATGAATGCAGCTCCATAATCACTGTGTTGCCTTCCCTTAGGCAACTTGTGTTTGCAGGCCTGGGATGAGTAGGAGAAGTCCTTCATCTGAGTGTGTTGTGTTTCCCAACGATTGCCGGCAGTATCTTTGCGACATGACTTCCACATGTGTAATTAATTCCCAGGGGAATCCTAGGTAAGCCAGTTTAAAGATTGCTATCAAAAAAAACTTATGCTGAAGCTAGAATGGAAGCTGAGTTTGGATGAGCTGAATTTTGAAGAAACTGAGAGCTAACTGGGAATGGGCCAGAGTTACCTTTTGAGTAGAGCCTATTTGTAACAAGCCCATTGAAAGTAAAGAGTCAGTCATTGTAAATTTGGCATGTGGGTCACAAGCTGCTTTAAATGTGGGGCAGCATAATCTTCTATGACGTGAACTGGAGATGTAGCTCCCCAAGTTGGTGGTAGTAGGTAGGGTATTATCCATTAATAATCAGTCATTAAAAAGGGAGATGTGTGACTCTCGTTTGCTCATATTTGCGCACATTTGATTGTGAAGGCTAAGTCTTTGGCTCTCCTCTCACTTAGGACCGTGAGCAAGAAATGAGAATTGCAGATTGACAGGGAAGGGGGAAGTTGAGGGAAGAAACACCATTTAGTCCTCTGGAGCAAAACACAGAATCATAGAATCATAGAATAGTTAGAGTTGGTTGATACTCCTTAGATGGGAAATACTGCCAGATGAAGGATCATTTTCACATAATTACCTCCATAATTGCCTCTGGTGTTTGCACCAGATAAAGCTTGACTGAAGATTTTGTGCGTTACTAAGAAAAGGTGGAGCTTCCC